ACTAGTGATTTTGAAATACTGGAACAAAAAAGGCCCAAACAGTTTCACATTTTATAGTAGCTTTTTACTCGTATTTTATTTTCTTCCACAACTACTGATATTGCTGTTGTCATGTATCTTCCTGAGTTTGTGATTGATGATTGTTCACTGTTGCAAGATGTTTTATCCTTCTTATTTTCATGTTGTAGTATCATGAAAGCAATGCAAACATGTCACTGAGGCATGACTCTTCTAGCCTTCATTATTTCATGTTACTTCGTGGACTGTAAGGCTGAAGATGTGGACACAGCCGTAAACTTTTCTCTTGACCCATACAAAGCATACTTTTTTTTTTTTAATTTTCATGCAATTTGTTTGTATGGATTGTTTGCCTCTGATAAGCTAAATCTCTCTCTTTTCTAGGTGCCAGAATTGCTGAATATTCACAGCTCTATGACCAGATTGTCTTTAGGGAAAGTCCACCTAAGACCCAAAAGGAAACCTGGTCTGGCCCTCAGGAGTCATCAGCCTCAAGGTATTCCACACCCGTGGCTGCACCTCCTTCCCGTTCTCAGTTAGTCAGCGAACACTCAAGAGCAGAAGACTGGCTTTTGCATTCTACATACAGTAATGGAGAGCTGGCTGACTTTTCTCCATGGCATGAATCCCAAGACCTGAAGTCCAAGAGCTCATGTACAGAAACTGGTACAAAAAGCAATTCAAGGCAGTTGCCATCAGCTTGCTCAGTGCCGTCCCTTCAGATTTCTAACCGTCTGCATGTCCCAGTGCAGAGGTGGAGTGCCATTATAAGCCAACCTAACAAAGAAAATTTGCATCAAGATCACATCTATAACTCCCTTGGGAGACGAGCAAGCAATATAAAACCACAGGCATACAGCAGGTCACAGTCATCATCCTCAATTGTGGTCAATAGATCTGGAGAATCAATCATTTATCCCAATGACATGGACAAGAAAAAGCTTCATTCAAATAGAAACTTCCGATTCGATAGCCATCAAGCACCAGATACTGCTGCAGGATGTACAGGGCATGACACAAGACAGCAGATCCCTGAGAACTATTCAGATATGATTCTGCAGGATTCTCAAAAAGTTCTGAGAGTAAACAGGACCTCCCCTTTGACTGCACAGGTGGCCACTCAGAACTATTTTTCTAATTTCAAAGATACTGAAGAAGAAGGGGATGATGACGACTATGTTGAAATCAAATCGGAAGATGAGGGATCTGATTTGGAGACTTCCCAGAACCAAGCAAAGAAATCAGATCCTAAATTAAGTAACAGAGACGCTGCTCCTTCTGAAACTCTCTGTAGCAAAAGTGTCTCTTGTACTCCGGCGAAGTCAGCGAACAGCAAACATGCGCTTACGCCCTATCTGACTGCTTACAGTGATTCAGATAAACTGAATGACTATCTGTGGAGAGTACCATCTCCTAATCAGCAGAATATTGTCCAATCCTTAAGGGAAAAGTTTCAGTGTCTGAGTTCAAGCAGCTTTGCTTGATGCTTTCAGTAACTTCTAGTTGTACTGCCTTAACGTGACAAAGTACATATTAGTGCAATCACTGCTGGCGTCATGTATTTCAAAAATATTACACAATCAGGCATTGTATCACAGTAATATTGTAAATAGATGTGAAATGTATCTTTTTTTATGGTTTAGAATCCTGAACGTTGAAAAGGTTGTGCGCGCATTGTCTCGATAATGCAGATGGACTTCTCATCTTGTACTTAACCTTTACATCTTTTCCCTTTCTTCTCCACAGCTCAGTTTCTTACTAGGTGTGATATTGAATTTGATTCTTAAATTGTGCTACCGTGTGGAAACCTTAGTGTTTGGACTTGTAAGAGTTGGTGACCAGTGTGAGCCCAAAATACCCGTGTGATTACTCTGGTTACATATGAGAGCGTTTAGTTGGGCGGCTACTCCTAAAACTGTGGGTTTCTGGGCACAATTCTGGTAATCGCACCAACAGCTAGGTGTGCAGTCGCACATACTTTTTGCACATTACTTTTTAATAGACAGATTCCAAGTCTATGGGACCAATGCATACAATGCCAAATACATTACTTTAGGCTTCTTTATGTTTTAAACAAAATCTAGGCCTCGTGCTTGTGAATGGTGCCAGGCTGATAGCTCCGTATCTGAAGCCTCTTCTACTTTATATAACTGCGTAACAGGCAGAGGACAGGCCATGGCAGCTTTTTCTATGCGAATTTGTCAGTGTGTTACAGTCCTTGTCTGGAGGATATTTCAGGGGAGTAGAAGGGGAACCGTGCTGCTTGTGAAGATAGCTAGGCTGAATGCTGGTTTTGCACCTCCTGTGATTGTGGTGTTTGTGACGCACAGAAAAACCTGCATATCTGTAACTCAGAGCCCAGCAATGGAAAGTGTGCTGTGTGGATATGCTAAGTACCGAAACTTGTATGCAGTGGCCTGTCGGGTGTTTGTTCAGTTCCCAAAGTCAGTAGCACTAAGAGAGAGAGCAGGACTTGGCCAGATGCTTGGGTGAAACATTAATCGTGCTGCATGTTTGGCCAGTAGGGTGTTTCAGTGCTACTAGGTGTTGAGTTACAAGCTGCCTTCCCGAGGGAATGCATCTCCCATAATAGGAAGTGATCCTTTCTGGCACAGAGAGTAAAATGTGCATTTTCTAAACCAGCCAGGGCTTAATCTTATCAACCTAAGTACAGTAAAAGTAGCTAAAGATCAGAATACATTCCATTCTTTTGCAAATGTACAGTAAATACTCCCATTTGCAACGAGAATAGACTTCACAGTGTGATATACGTTTACTTTCTTTTATCATGTGTTGCACAGCTTTGGATTTTGTTACTTGAAAACCTTGTACCTAAAGGAAAGCCTAAATATGTCTACTGCTCAGCCACTGATCATCTTGTGTGACTGGCTTTTTTGGTGCTTAAATCGTTCAGATTAGGCATTATAAAGCCAGTACTGAGTTAAACATATCACTAAATACAGGAGTTTAAGTGAAGTACTATTTTTAGTAGTAATGTATTCCTTCCCTAAGAATACAGAGCGTTGCACTTCCAGAACTGCCAACTATTTACAACATCAGTTATCATGAGGAAAACCTGAAATTATCAATGTACAGTAGATTAAGATTTAAGGACGTGAATTTGTTAGAATGGGTTAAGTTATCTACTGCACCTATCTTGCATTGGCTAGGAATTTGTATTTGGAGGGTTGGTTTGTCATTGTACTCCTTAGCTTGTATATTTTAACCATGATACTTGTTACAGCCAGCACATCCACTGTAGTAGAACCTGCATCTAGTCAAATACAACTGAGAAATAATGCTGTACATATTTAAGACACCGAGACTTAGCAGAGCCCGTATTTATTTAACAGAGCTTGTAAAGTTATTGTAAATACGAATAGATCTGTGCTTTACCCGCGCATGTCTAGATTTGTTCAGGCTGTTAAGAGAATCCCGTTCAACTCGCATCTCAGTGCTGGAGTTGAGAGGAAGAAAAAGAGGTTGGGGTG